ATTTATTTGGTTCATTACGATACAGCATCGAACAGGACGGAGTCAATTTTTATTATTTGTTGATACCAAGAAAGTTCTCGCAGAGTTGTCTAAAACCATTCAACGCTTTCCTTTCATCAGGATTTGAAGATTGTTTAAGATAAGATTCTGGGTATAAAACTTTAGTGTAAACATAAAGAATTTAAATGTTAAAAGTCTAATGTGTTATGTCTATTTACTGAGATGATTTTGAACTTAGTGGTACGGGTCAGTGGTGGTGTTTCCAGCATGACCTTAATGGGTTGGTGATTCTTAACGAACTCTGGGTACTCGTGACTTGGGGGGATGGATATTATAAGAATTTAATAATAAGACCAGCTCACCACGTCCAATTTTGGGCCAGGCACCACCAGGGTCTGGAAGCGCACGGACACCAAGGTCCGCGTTCGTCCACAGCCCAGCGGCGGGCCAGGCTTTGCTGAAGCCACGACGTTGGCCTGTGGGTGAACGTAAGCGAGTTACTCCAATGCCGATTACGGCTGACAATCATTATTTCCGTTGTTTCTTACAAGTTACTAACGGACGATATATTATTTCATAATGGAGTTGAGGACTAACCGAGGAACGGTGTGCGAAATCGAAATAGCTGAATGGTAGTTTCAGTTAATTAATCCCTGATCGGCGGTTGGCACCTACACTGTTAGAAAAAAACGGTGAAAAAACGGTCCCACTGGCATTCTAGTGGCCGGTCGCCCCGTGAAAATAAACTGTTTCGCCGTTTTTATCAGATGTTTTACGGATTTTTAGGGTTAAATTAGAATAAAAACAGCGACATGGTGTTTTTTTACGTGCCGACCGGCCGGCCACCGACACGCCGGTAACACCGTTAAAGGTAATTTTTCTAATAGTGTAATAAATCTCACCGATTTACTGATTTATGGTTATCTTCATCTGGAATGTTTGAATCTCATGGAATCGCTTTACCAGATCGGAAATTTTAGTTAAATTTGTTTTTTTGTCGAATGGCATGTATGTATAGGTAACCTGCATGTATGGCGGTCATTTTAGGTCAACTGTACCAGATCTCCACCTGACCATCACTAATTTTTGTGAAATTTTACGCAAATGTTGGTTTATTTATCAAATAAACTTTGCCAAAATTTAAGCCCCAAATTAAGAAAATCTTGAAATTATGCACCCTCTAAAGAGGCGTGGTGATGATGTCCCCGATCACGCAAATGAAAATCTCCAACTTTAGGTTCTGTTGATCTTGAGGAATAAGGTCAAGCTTTGCCAAAAATTGGAAAGACCGAAAAAATTCATTAGTTTGGTGCCCTGTAAATCAACAGGAAGTTTCTTTTACTCCTTGATACTGGTACAGTTCATTACAAACATAGGAAACATTGAATATGCAAAATATTGGTAGATAATCCATTTTTGTTTATCAGTGAAAATTATATAAGCTTGCTCATTATAACATAGCAATGTCGGCGCTAAATAAATTTGCCCATATGGTCTGTCGCCGACTCTTGATTTTTGTGAACGCCGAAATAAAAAAGTTTACCTAAACCTACTCTGTTGCATGATTCTTATGTTCATTCTGATATTTATGTTAATTCTGTTAATGGGTTCTCTTTGTGAAGGACCTTTCAGGGGGATTTCTGACGCGTGTCTGTGCTCGTCAGAAGTCCTATGGGATTTCGCGTTCCTAGGGGATTGTTCCTGAGCGCCCCACCGCTGAGCTCGCGGTGTCTGACTGCAGGTCTCAGTTTTGGGGTTAAGTTATTATGTAGGTAGGATTCNACCTGTCCCTTCTTGTCACTTCGTCTCTTTGAGATGCTAACGCTGTTTCTTTCGAGCCTTCAGCGGGCTGGACAATTGAGACCTTCCGCCCCATGTGCGTGATCGATTGATTTGAGATTTTGAATAATTGCGACCTTCCGCCTCGCGGTGATGTTATATCTTTTGACCTCTGGTGCGAAATACGAGTAGCTTGATAGCTGAAGCGGTAGTAAACCATCCTACTACTCCTACTACTTTTGTGACGGGCGAAACTTGGCTTGAAAACTATTGCGCTCGACTAATAATTTCACTCATGCGGAATGACCAGCAATTCTTTTAAAGCATTGCAACAGGCAGTTCAATGTAATGTTCAGATACGAATGTCAAATTTCAGTGACGAGAACAAAAAAGACATTTTAGTGAGTTTACTGCTATCTTTTTCGCGTTATATTTTTTTTCAAATTTTGCAGGGGCATAACTTTTTCAGGAGGTACCCTCGACTTTTTGACATTCAACTCAAGTTTTCCTATTTTCTAATTTTCAGGATATTCTCATGTTTATTGATGCTTATTTACATTTGATTTGTTACAGTATGGTGTCTTTTTATTCATCGGGTCACTGAATATAGGTCAAGGAAAATCTTGCCCAGGCATTTCCTTTACACTTAATTGATATACCATTACACTATACAAGACTCTGAACTTACGAATTTTATCTGTTTTTTTATGATTTTTGGAAAAGTTTGACCTCATAAAAAACTATTAAAGCAATAAACTATTAAAATAACCTTTTTACAAGCAACTCGTCCAGTTTTACAGACACTTCTATTTTAAAATTACTGGCTAGCATACATATGCGACTGCAATGACCTGAGTTTGTAGAGTTTGCGCTTAGAGGGCCTGTAATGTCTAAAGTTCTCCATATTTGCAGCAGAAATTTCGGCTAAGTTTTTTTGAAGGATAAACCTACTCATGTATGAATTTTCATCAAAATTGGTGATGGTCATTTGGGGCTTATTTTTAAAATAGGTACACTTGACGTGGAATGACCCATACAGTATATGAATGAGCATAAAATGGCACAAAATATTATAGTGTGATCCACTGAACTTTAATTACATTAATAAGCGCAAGAGAAGACGCTTGAAAAGCCGTCAGGATCCACTTTTTGATTGGAAACGCATAAATTATACGTGAGCTTAATTAGAAAGTCAAGCTTTGCAAGTAACATGTAGCTGTCCCTTGGCTCCATGAAGGGCTAAATATATATGAAGTTTTTATTGACAATAAAAAAAATCAACACAATACTCAATGATTCGTACTTTTTTTATTTATTTATTTTTTTTTCTTTGAACTGAGGAAAAAATTTTTTGTAATTAAAAAACCATTAGATCAGCTACAGTCACAAGCTATAAAATTGTCTGTATAGCTTGCTTTACTCACGCTTTCCGGATACGATGCCACGGAGAGGCCAAGACACATCTGCAATAACAATCGCGTTAAGGTGGTGCTTGAAAGCCGCGAGCTCTCAGGCAGGCTTGGCTGAATCCCTATGGGAATCTATCACTACGTATAGAAGCTACAGTCACAAGCTATAAAATTGTCTGTAGCTTGCTTTACTCACGCTTTCCGGATACGATGCCGCGGTGAGGCCAAAACACAACATCTGCAATAACAATCGCGTTAAGATAAAATATGAGAAACCTCTTAGGTATGCCTATAACAACTGATGTGCCTGTGTTACTGTTGCATTTTGCTTGAAGTTTGTGAGAAGATGAGTGAGGAAAGATACTGCTTGCGATTGGATTTCATTTAGGATATTAGAAAATTATAATGCACAACTAAACACTGCACAAAAACTTACTAGCTCCTTATGCCGCAACCATGACTATATTACTTCCGCAACCATTACTTTGTTCACTTGTCAACAACAACCCAATCAAAAGTTGTTGCAACGTATTTAACTTCTGAAGGTCCTAAACGACCGCAAAGGACAACCACATGTACTTCATTAATCAAGGAGGAAACAGTATAGAATGCCGTACTTTCAACGTTAATAACCGGACAGCGATAGACTTTAGATAATGGAAGCAACTTTAATTCTTCGCAAGAACCCACTTCTCAACATTCAATCAACTACAGTAGATACCAGCGCAGTCTGAATACCGGACTGCATGCGAGCTTAACTCGTCACAACAAAAAGTAATGCAATTTTACTACCTTCCTGCGCTTGCTCTCGAACCATTTCGCTGTGAGCAAATTATAAGCTATTAGATCCGACCCTACGAACAATTAGACACCCGTTAGAATTGACTTTTAAGGTAGTTCTCTATACGAACGAGATACTTTTAATACATGTCTTATTGAAGGGCACAAATTTTAAATATATTTTGATATGCGCTACAATGGTGCAGATTTGGTGCGCACCTGCCTGCGACCGTGATTGAGAACGCTTTCTTGCCGCCGCGCCGGTGTCACTCTGGACCCGTCTCTTCGAGCCACTACTCGGCTAGGCCAGTAATGCGTCGATTCGACCCCATGACTCGGCCTTCCCGACGGCACTAAAGTAGTGTTTCCGTATCCACCATACCATTGTTATAGCAGCGCGACTGAAAATTAGCTTACGGCGGTGGGTGATGCCCGACGGCAAATCAAGTTATGGGATGATACTAATCGCAATCCAAGAAGTCTTTACGTTTACTGAAAACTCGGGTCTTCAGTAGAACGAAGCCAGAATTATCTGAATTTTGTAAAAATCTACTTGATTTTTAGGTTGGTTTGATTGCCTACTTCACGTCGCCCCGACTTGGTTTGAGCGAAATCGAATTGGCAATGTAGCTCGCATAATCTCTGATACGTTTCTTGAAATAGTATTGTTCCGATTATACCGTATTGGAAAGTGATATTCAAATACACTGTTAGCAGGGAAATAGAATACACGAACAAATATTAACCCCTTGGGGTGCAAGCATTGCCTTACAAACTTGGGTGGAATGGTGTCAGGATCACAATAATTAGCGAATTATTAGGCGTCTTCCATCTTACGTCCGCCCCGATGCTTCTTGAATTTCCGTGCAATAAAAATTAACCAATCCGTTCAAAAATCACCATCAGCATGCACGGTAGCAAAATGTAATGATTTTTTCGTCTAAGATTATAACATTTTTAGGTCACATGATTGTCAGAACTGCTGTGCATAGTATTTGTCATGGCAAACACCGAACACACGAGAATTTATTTGACACTCACCGAAGTAATGACCACGATGGAGAAGACTTGTTCCTCCTGCATGTTGATTCCGTAAATTTTTAAATTTATTCAAATTTGAAAAAAGTTAATTCAGTAACGGCGACTGCAGAAAAATTAGAAAAGTTTGTAGAAATATTAACAGATTTGAGTCTCGCAATGAATTTTAAGTCTCGCAATGCACCAATAAACGTAGACTTCTCGCCAAATATTCGTGTTTTACGAGCAATTTTTACGGGCACAAATATTCTTGCAGGAATTATTAGTATCAGATGACTGTTGAATATATATTTGTTAATAATTCTTATTTATAACACCTGAAAACGTAAGTGTTAATCAAAACATTGCAACTAGGTTATATTCAAAATGCACATACACAATCTGTTTACATTATTCTATAGACACCAAGCATCTAAATTGTAATCTTCAACTTAATTATGATTTATATACTAAAAATAAGAAGGCAATTATTATATGGGTAACTAAAATGTCACACTACTTCTCGGGCGAGAAACACGCGGTGGCAGGCATATTTATAAATTACGGATACACTTTGCAATTTTTTCTACCAATATAACACTAGAATAATGACTTCGGATGAGCGGACTTTCATATATCAGGGTTTAGTGTAGTTAATAAAAACAATTTTCAATGAAACCAGCATAAGCCTATCGTTGCACGATACAAATATTATATTCCGTGCAATTTTAGAATCCCGTTGTACCGAATCCAAGTGATATTTCTGAAAGTAAACAGCGTTAATTCTGGAAAACTTCTTCATCCCACCCTTGGCATGGAACTCTCCAATCCCGATTTGAAATTAAAGAAGAATTTGGATCGTTTTAATTTGAGAAAAAAATTTAAAATCATATATTAAAAATAACTCAGTACTCACTGCAGTGAGTGACAGTGAGCGCATTTTCTCGTCGACGAAAACGTGAAGTCACGTACGGACAGGCAAACGGACGGACATGGCGAGCACAATAGGGCATTTTTTCTATAAATGAGAAAAAGGAAAAACAAAACATCAGTTTTTCCAATCTAACTCTCTACCCCATAATTTTAATTCCAATTGATTTCGCCACTAACTGTTGATAAATAGAAATGTTTGATGATAGTTTAGGCTGTTGTTAGACATGTTGTTAACTTGAACGATTGAACGTTTAAGTTAACCGGGCGCTATATATCAGTCAGCGATCTCAAACAAGTTTCAAACTGAGGACGAGCTAGACAAGGTTGATTACAAACTTCAGTAACATAAATACGGTATTGGTTCCGCCATCTTATTATGTTCAGCATTTACACTGATAAATAACAACAACAAGAAATTCATTAGACCTGCTCATCTGAAAGCTCACCGCGCGTCATAATCTTTATGATTGAATGTTGTTATCTTCAGAACGCATAAAATTATAATCATGTTATTAATTTTATTATCTTCACAACGCAGATAATTATAATCATATTATTAATGTTATTATCTTCAGAAGGCATATAATTATAATCATGCTTATTCACTCACCGAAATCTGAGAGTAAAAATTGCACACACATAACATTTAATTTAATAATTACAATTATGCTTATTTTACACTATAATATCCATATTATTATGCACTTCTATTATTGCTATTATAATTCTAATTCTAATAATAATAATAATTATTATTAATATTGTCATATATTTTTTTATAATATGAGATATGCATAATACTTACCATTTCCTGTTAATATGAACGTCCAAAATATTGTTGATACGTGCTCAGTCATCCCCTATTTATTCTCAGTGCAAGGCTCTAAAGAAAGAGTCTATGGAAACTATATAAGGGAAATGACAAATATAAATCTAATCCTAATTTCACAACAGGAGATTCGTTTGAGCGGACCGCTCTCTTTTAAAATAAATTAGTGTTACGTGATTGAACTTGATTTTTGATATACGTGATTTGTGATAGCTGGACTGCCGATATTGGCATTTTCAAATATCAGGAGTAACGAATCCCTGGCAGAACTTTTTAAAGATGTTGTCACCGGACAACATCTTTGAAAACATCCGCAACCTCAAAACTTGTCAGAATGCTCGAGCTCTACGGCCAAACACCGGCAACTTTCCTGTAAAAATACACTGATCTGGATAAAATTTCAATTGCTGATATTTTATTGCATTTGATTAATCATTAAAACTCCAGTTCATAAGGAAAAAACGCAAATTTTATTTCAGTGAAGAACCCTTAAAAACAACACGTTTAAAATAGCAAAACCAGAGCACAGTCACAAGAACTAGCATTGGGGCACAAGATCGCTAGTGGAGCAACAGAGCGAGGTGAGTTCAGTTAGAACCTCGCAGTGTTGAGTCAGTGGACTGCGGTCGTCAGTGTTGAGTCAGTGGACTGCGGTCGTCAGTGTTGAGTCAGTGGACTGCGGACGTCAGTGTTGAGTCAGTGGACTGCGGTCGTCAGTGTTGAGTCAGAGGACTGCGGACGTCAGTGTTGAGTCAGTGGACTGCGGTCGTCAGTGTTGAGTCAGAGGACTGCAGACGTCAGTGTTGAGTCAGAGGACTGCAGACGTCAGTGTTGGGTCAGTGGACTGCGGACGTCAGTGTTGAGTCAGAGGACTGCGGACGTCAGTGTTGAGTCAGAGGACTGCGGACGTCAGTGTTGAGTCAGTGGACTGCGGACGTCAGTGTTGGGTCAGTGGACTGCGGTCGTCAGTGTTGAGTCAGTGGACTGCGGTCGTCAGTGTTGAGTCAGTGGACTGCGGTCGTCAGTGTTGAGTCAGAGGACTGCGGACGTCAGTGTTGAGTCAGTGGACTGCGGACGTCAGTGTTGAGTCAGTGGACTGTTGACGAATTACTGTTATGTGAAAATCAATTGTTGTCATAAATCATCACTATCAAACATCCTCACCTGCCCGTACTAAAATTAGCTTCTTGGTTTCAGATGTTCAAAACGATGATTGAGACAAACTGATGTTAGTGGACGTACTGCCGCTTGACATCTCACACAAACGGATGTTAGTGGAAGTAAGCCTATAAAAGTACGGTAAATTTCACCTAAAAGATATGTTCTTTGCTGAGTTTAGCGATCAAACTAGCCACATAATATATTGTTCACCGCAAGGGCAGAGAGGAACTGATTATTATTGGTCTTGAGTGAATGGATTATGTGACCAAACCATGCTCATCGCACTTACAAGTAAGTCTTTTTTGGCATGTAATCATAAATAATGTTGTTCTCAGTTTAATGTTCCGTTGAATATTGTTGAATTTTTGAGAATCTCATTTTCTAAAATGTTTGAATTTTTTTAAACCTTATATCATTTCATACTCTAAATATCCCTTTCTATATTTCCTTGTGAAGAAAACGCATGGCAATTATGACATGGGATGCATGTACATTTGCAGCCACAGAGGGAAATGTGACATCGATCATTTCTGAACGATATAAGAAATAATTCCAAAGCCTGTTATTTTATTAAATATTATTATTACGTGACCGCGCTCTATGCCGAAGCCACAGATTTACAGACATGTAGCATTAAAACAAGTTTTAAATGACTACAGCAACCGTTGATAATTGAATAAAATCCACAATTGTTAAATTTCAATAGTTTACTTGATTTACATGCAAATAGGGTAACATGGGGCAGCGAGCCCACTGCGGGATGTAATTCCTAGTAATAAATCCTTATTGTTCACATAGGAATGTATATAAGGAGAAATAGGGATAAATACAAACTACAATATAACAATTTCCAATTTGATTGAATAGTTATTTTATTTTATTATTATTTATTATATTTATTTTGTATATATTTTAGTTTTTATTTTATATATATATATTTTTCTTTATTATTACTTTATTTTATTTTTTGCAAACTTTTAGTTTTTAACCGACACGCAAGCGACAGTACAATCTGTATTCTGTGCGATCTTGTACAGGTATGAACATGTATTTAAAAATTAGAACATGTAGTATTTTTAAAGAGGAGGAAAAACGTCCTCTGCAAAGCACATGTCAAGTTAAAAGTCGAAGTTACCTGAGAGAGACCGCCGGTCTCTAACTCAAATTGTAAGTGAAAATCGAAAGCCGACGACTCTTCAAATTGCAACAGACCTCAGCGAACATCTACAGAAACCAGTTTCCATACAAACTGTACGTCTGGAATCTCTCCAAAGTTTGCCTAAGTTTCTTCATTCATGCAGCGGTAATATTTTTTTAAGCACGTGCTTGATTATGAAGTATAGTCATACCTGAGGCGGAAAAATCTTCATGCCTTCGATATTCACTTGACAATGCTTCTGAAAGCACCTGCACCGAGTAAATTTATGTAGCTACTATAGTCTTCAAAGTAGGTTTTGTTGTAGAAAAGATTAGTTATTACTAACAATTTTCATGTGATTTTTTAACAATTTGTTGAATAAGACTTTATAAGACTTGAGTGTTCGGATATATAATGTTTCCATGGGATATCTGATCGTTATATTACGTCGTTTGAATTAAAATTATTTGTTATCTGGTAGAGTGCATGTTAGGTTTTGAAATTGCTCAAGTACAAAATTAAGGTACTACCAGCATGCAGGTTATATATCGGCTGTACCTGAGCTCGATAAAAATTATTTTGCGTTTTTAAATCAAATTTGTACTTATATATTGCAAATCAAATTTCAATTTGTGGTGCAATCTTTTCTCTCAATTCTCCCACTAAGAGCGAAATTTTTAGGTCCAGGTAATATGATACAATAATAGAATACAATATGTTTACAATAGTTCCAGCTTCTATGTATAATATACTGACACGATAAATATCCTGGATACGCGCCCCAACAGCCCCTATATACAATATCCGGACACGATAAGTATCCTGGATACGCGCCCCAGCAGACCCTATATACAATATTCCGACACGATAAGTATCCTGGATACGCGCCCCAACAGCCCCTATATACAATATCCCGACNCTCTCTCACTTGAATTATTACTCTCTTATTTGAATTATTACTCTCTCACTTGAATTATTA